GCGGGCCAAATGTAATTAGGCTGCGGCCGCGGGCCAGAGTTTGACACCTATGTCCTACACGATCAGGAGCTGAGCAAAAATTGGCACACAGGTACATATTGGGTCCATTCTTATGTACACTACCGGTCAAACGTTTTTGAACACACCAATTTTTCCAGTTTTTTATTGAAAATGATGCTGTTTAATGTTTCATGCACTCTGAAATAAAAGCATAGTAAAAATAAGCAATTGGAGTTAAAAAAAAAAAGAAAAGAAAAGAAAAAGAAAGCATGGAATCAATTTATAGACCAAAACCTTTGACTCATCAAAGTTGCCACTTTTGGTAGATGACAGCTGAACACACCCGTGGCGTTCTTTCTACAATAAAAATCAAATATTCTTCACAAAGTTCTTCCCATATCTGTTGCAGTTCAGTTCACTTGTAGGTTGCTTTGCTTTCATTCTTGTGTCCAGTTCTGTGCTGTCTGCTCCATGTTTTCAAACTTATCATTTCGTTTTGGTCATTATCTTCCTGTAGGATAAACCCCTGCCCTACTACGTGCATACCAGAGGGTATTGCATAGCACTCCACAATGGTGTGGTAATCATTTTGGTTAAGAGGGCCTCTCACTCTGTACAAGTCACCGACCATGAATTTGGCAAAACAGCCCCAGACCTTCACACTTCCCCCTCCATGTTTCACAGTTGATACCACACACTTTGGAATCATCCTTTCGCCAATTCGATGTGCGTGAAGATTTCAAATTTTGATTCACCAGTCCATAATGCCTTCTTCCAGTCTTCAGTAGTCCAATGGTGGTGTTTCATGGCCCAGGCAAGCCTCTTTGTCTTATTCTGACGTCATAGCAACGGCTTTCTTGCTGCAACTTATCCAGTCAACCCTGCAGCTCAAACTCTTCAATTAAAATTACTTACTATGGCCACTATTGAGCTTTGCTTGAAGCTGTTGTCCTGTGAGCCGCCTATCACACAAGATGTTAGCTCTCAGAAACTTGTCCTCTGATTCATTTGTGGCGTTTCATCTGCCAGACCTCTTCCTGTCAGCATTTGCCCCAGTTTCTGAGTGCCTTTTGATGGTGAAGGAAACTTTATTCACTGAAACCTTTCTTTGTAATTTCTCAGTAGGAAAGACCTACATTTTTAAGTGTTATGATGGTCTGTCTCTCTTCCATTGTCAATTGCCTTTTTTTCTCGCCATTTTTGTAGCAACACACCACTATCTGCAGTACAATACTGTTCACAGATGCGCACGAGGGTTTGGTACCACAGTGTGTTCCAACATTGCTTTTATGCAGACAGAGGGGGTTGTAAGTAATCCAGAAAAACTGGAACACCTGTAGGAATTAGTTGCACTAGCTTCAGCTCGATCAAGCTTGATTAACCTCAATTGCTGCAAAACAGCTTTAAATTGTTAAAATATATTGTGTCCCCTGAAAAAGGCGACACAATTTTTGTATAATTCTGATATGCACATTATATTTCTTTTTTTTTCCATATATTTTTATTGAAATTTTTTATAGTACAATACAAACAAATGTTGAACACCCTCACATTCACACA